CATCGTCGTCATCCTCGGCGTTCCAGAGCACGTCATCGTCACTGCCATTCAATGAATTTGAAATGCAGCATTTCTTGAAAGATTTCACAATCACTGGTGCTTCAATGCTTTTCCAAGCAGCAGAAACCCAGTGTGCAACAATGTGCGGTGCAGCACGCTTAATTTTTCCTGTCGGTCAATACACGGTTTGGCTCACAAAACCATTTTTCGTACTCCGCCTGAACGTACCCCTTAAAAGGTTTTTTTATACTAACGTCCAGGGGTTGTAACACAGACGTTATCCCTCCAGGAATGATAACAAGATCACTGCCTAGGATCACTGTGCATCTTCTTTTTTACGTCGTCGGTGAGATGACCACGAAATGCGTCCAGACAAAGCATTGATGGTGGATTAGAGAGTCCACCGGGACGGTGTTTCCATACATTTTGGAGCCAATCAAGCATTAATGATTCCGTCATTTACCCCTTCTCTTGGTTTCGAATCAGGACATCATCTGGGAACATCTTTTCATTCTTAGGGGTTTTAGGGCATGTTTTCCGTTTAAAGATTAAGAAAGGGGGGGGAGTTTGCACCCGTCTGCTGTTATTGCCAGCATCACTGTTACGCATAGTTTTTCACATCCCGAAGTTTTGAATGATAACTTCCTTAGTCCCCTCCTCCGTAATGGTTGTAGTTACGAGGCATATCAAACCAAATTGGCCGTCTCGTCCAGCGTTGCCAATTTGCCCCATTTAAAAATTCTTTTTCTTTCGAAGTGTGATGACATACCGCTGAAATGTAAGTAGTTTTCCCTCAAAATCTGCAGGAAGCTTTTGGCATAGTGTTCTACGGCGTCTTAGAGATAAGCCCATCCGCTTCATAAACCGATCCAGCCATCCACTTCTAGCCTTAAACTCTTGTTTCGGTATTCCAAGAACTTCAGGGGCCTCCTCTTTTGCTTTATTTCTTATGGTGTCACTAGTCACAGGTTGTCCATTCTTCCTCCTTTCACGTACAAATTCCAAAACTTTTTCTTCAATTTTAGGGTGTCTTCCTTTGCGAGGGCCAGTGAATTTCTTTAGCTTTAGTTGCATACAGTGCCAATTTCTGTTGCCGCCACAAGCGAACATTGCTCTCAGCTACATTGAACTCTCTCCCTGCCTTTCTATTGCCATTTTTTTCAGCATAAAGAATTACTTTACGTTTGAAAGTAGCATAATATGACATTCTTTTCTGTTTGCCCTCCATTTCGTGACTACGTACTCTGCAGTTTGTATCCTCTATGCAATAACGTGTCAATGATAAATGTAACGGTAAATGTAGTCAAGAAATTTGGTTGACGTCATCAGCAAACTTTGCACTCGAATCTAATGCGCACACCAATTTTGAATACTACATTTGGCCAAAAACGATGCGCATTAGATTCACATAAATACGGTAATAAATTGAGAAGGAATATTATTTTCCAAAAGAATCTGCATAAGTAAAATTAATTCATCGTTTAAGTAATCAATTTTAGAGCAAATATTCTTGATTCTAGTAATATGATAAAGTACTGTGTTGCCAATAACTTTTCCAGATAAGCTGGTGTGCTTTGAATAAAAGGTGAATTTCAAACTTTTCTATTGACTCAAAATTCTTAATAACAATGATATACAGGGTGATTATAATTAAAGTTTCAAAATGCTATAAAAAAGAACCACTGATGAAAATGACGTCAAATTTGAAAGGAATGTTATTAAAGAAGGCGGAAGCATATGGCAGAAGAAAAAATTAGCTTCAAAAGTTAGCAATAGATGGCATTTTAAACGGAAGACTATGTAAATTAAAATGTTAGTTAAATTTCAGTGTTATAAAACTGCCAGGTACAAGGCTGTTCCTCATTTCGCATCTCAGACGTTCGCCATAGGTGTTTCACTGTAGGACCACACTCTGCTGGTAAAGCTGTTTACAAGAATGATGATTGTGCAAAAGTAACTCTGCAAAAATTCAGGACACTGAAAGGGTATTAAAGAAGGCATTGGACCAATGAGTGCCATGGGTCTAAAGAAAATAATGCAAAAATTCAAAACGACAGGTTCGTTTGATGTGTAATCTGGTAGAGGGAGAAAACGAGTGTATTCGACGGTAGTTGAAGAAATGGTCACAGCATTACAGGAAGGGGTTGGCCGGTGGTGTGCAACAGTGCAATGCACGAGGAATTGCCGGAACACTAGGACAGGCCTAGCCTACGAGCACACGGTGCTGAAAATTGTACGAAACATCCTGCAATGTTATTCGTACAAAAACAGTCATGTGCAGGAGTCGCTTCCATCTGACCTGGCTGCAGGGGAGACGTTTGCGTTAGAATTTCTTGCTTGCATGGAAGTGGATAATGAATAGCCGTAGAAAATTATGTGGACAGATGAAGCCCATTTCTATCTGACAGGGTATGCCAATACCTAGAATTGTTGAATATGGGCAACAGAAAATCCACTGGCAATGCACCCCGTACCACTTCATCCTGAAAAGGCCATAGTGTAGTGCGGCTTTACGGCATCATTCATCCTACAGCCATATTCTTTCGAGCAAACAGGTGCTTCCAGTCCTGTTACCGCAACCGTCATTGGTCAGAGGTATGTGTCTCTTTTGTGCAATCACGTGATTCCAGCTATGCAACAGTGTGGATGTGTAGATGAAATCATTTTTATGCAAGAGGGCATTGCACATCCCGTGAAGCAGCTGCTGAGGGGCCATTTCGGAAATGCTCGAATTATCAGCCGTCACTTCCTTACAACCTGGCCGTCCCCTCGCCTGATCTTACTCAGTGTGACTTCTGGCTGTGAGGCTATCTGAAGGATGTTGTGTTCTGTGCTCCAATTGCAAATTTAGCGGAATTAAAGGCATGTATTTCACAACACATTCTGAACATCACACTGGAGACACTGCGATCCATTGTGGAACATGCTATTTGTCGCTTTCCACTTGTTGCACACAATGGTGGACACCATACTGAACATGTTTTGCACCAGTCTCGCAACAGTTTCAATTTCTTTGATGAATGGTTCTTATGCGGTATGTCGCCCCAAAACTCTTGAAACCGATTAGTCCCTTTCCATGTGATATGTACAGTCATGCAAATAAAATTACTCAACAACTCTAATTCTAATTTGTCAATGCGTTTTAATGTGTAACACACCTTAGCCGTTGTTTTACAAATCATTTCTCATTTCTCGTCGTGATTCTGTTGCTTACAGTGCCATCTGTTGCTAAAATTTGAAGCTTACATTTTTTCTTCTGCCATATGCTTTCCGCCTTCTTCAATAACATTTCTTTCAAATTTGACGTTATTTTCATCAGTGGTTCTTTTTTTATAGCATTTTGAAACTTAAACTTTAATTATAACCACCCTGTATATGTATCTGAAGGTGCTTGCAAAGAGTTCTAAATTATTTTTTTCCAGTTAGTTGAAACTGAAATTGCTTGGTAAATAAGTACAGGCTACAAATCTGTTTGAAGTTGGAATCCTTAGGGACTCTATTTATTTATATAAAAATAGCGCTATTAAATTTTAAAAAGTTATGAAAACTGTTTTTAAAAGATTTCCAACTTTGAGCGGCTATAATTATAACCTTAAAGAAGTTACAACACTTTTATACAAATTACAGCAAAAATAATATTTTAAAGTTTATAAAATTTTAAATCTTCAATGTGACCACCACCAGAAATATGCAACAGATAGAACTCATCCCGCACCTTTTTCAGAATATCCAGTGTTAAGAGTTTGGATGCCTGCAGTTATTTCCATTTTCAGTTCATCAATGTCTGCCACTAATGGTGGAAATAACACTTGATCTTTTATGTAGCTTCAAGGAAAAAAAAATTGCAGGGGCATGTCAGAATAATATAAGGGCTTCTTGGGTGCCACTGTTGAGAGTGGAGTTATCATTTGTTCTGTGACTAAACCACCTTTGTGGCAGTTTTTCATTTAACTAACACAGAATAAATGTCAATGTTCTCGTGCTCCAGCTTGCTGGGAAATGAAGTCTCCAACTTCTTCTAACTGCAGAAACAACCAAATCTGTAGCATATCCAAGTAATGAGATAGTAACAGAAAACTCATGAAAAAGGAATATGCTCATAATTTTGTCTTCCGATACAACACAAAACACATTAACTTCAGTGATATGCATTCCACTATAACAAATGAATGAGAATTAGCAGTACCGCACGCGAGAGTATTACGCAGGCTGGCTTTACCATTGATACGCTATGTCAATTCAATGCTAAATTTCAGCTTAGATATGAAAGAACAGTCTTTGTCCCACTCATTCAGAACAAACTTACTAAAAACAATGCTCCATTCTTAGTTATTTGGAGTAAGAAAGTGTTCCAGCTGTATCTTGCATAGTTTGAATCCTTTTTCAAAATCTTCCATACTGTCATATGATGCACTTGCAGTTCCTGGTTACATAGTCAGTCAATTTCTTTCAGACTTTTAATGGATTTTGTTGAATTTGTTCCCTGTCTTTGCAAATGCATCCCTTTTCAGAAAATTGACAAAACCAACACTAAGATACCCCTTCTACCAGAAAAACAACGAAATAGCAAATTCAATAATGGCTTTTGTTAATCAGTTATAACTTTGCATGAACTCACATAATTAGAATGATGGGCGCTTGTATAGCCTGTAATACCATTCCTAGTAAAAAAGCCTGTAATACCATTCCTACGTAAAAAATTTGCACACTTTTCATTTGCTACGATTTGTAGTTCATAAAAAAATCACTTAAGAATATATTTTTTAATTTGATTGTAAATTTAAAACTTTTTTTTCCAGTTTATATCAACCATCACAAAGAATTTTTAAAAAAATAAGTAAATAAATAAATAAGTTACTCAAAAGAAGAAGCAATTTTAGCAAGACAACTTAAATACATACAAAGAAATATTCTGGAATAGTCACAAATAACAGCAATAATAATTTATGCAATATGTAAATTTTTCATAAAAAATATTCAAATAAATTTAAAATACTTACCCAGCGGTTGCCGATCTCGATGATAAACATGGATTCCCATGGGAGTTAAAAATCCACCAAATGTTGTGCGTTTCACACATCCAGTTAATCTGTTGCATCCATGTACAGCCCTTGTGCTCCAGTCAGTCCAATAAAGCATGTCTCGGTGAACAGCTAAAGCATACGGATGTGGTACATCCACCTTTGTAATAACTTGTCTGTTATTGCCTTCAAAATCCATGCTTGATATCAATTTCAGTTTCGCATCAGCCCAATATATTCTAACAAAGCAAATTAAAATGCTACAATATAACATAATTTAATGCCCTATTTCATAACAGCAAACTTGAATACATGTGTAAAATCGCACAGCATAGCAATTTTAGAAATCTGGAAAAAAAAGACAGAAAATACAAAAGTTAAATCTTGCTTTTTATGACTACAAATGATGTTAGAATAAAAGGTACTTCCTTATTATTGCAGCCCTTAGTTTTTTCTTACACACCGAGTTTTAAAATCCAGGATTATTGCCAAGTTCTAATTTACTTCCCGCATACACTTTGCATCTGCCATGCTTATGCCATGCTTTTAATATGGTATCAGAAGCATTTTATTAACTGAAGGACTTGCACCCATGGCTGTGGAGTTGGTAGGAAAAATGACCGACTCTGACTCCCTCATATATATGTAAACATATATGCATGGGTAACAGCTTATTTTTTTAATATAAAAGAAGTAATAGATGCTACAGAAAAAAAATTGATGGCACAGCAAATTATTTATATTAATTAACATTTATTATGAAATGGAAAAACTGGATTAGTTATTTCTAAGAAACAGTACAGCTTCAGCAAGAAGCTTTGCATTTTTTTAATATAAAAGTAGTAATAGATGCTAAAGAAAAAAAAAATTGATGGCATAGTAAATTATTTATATTAATTAGCATTTATTATAAAATGGAAAAACTGGCATTAGTTATTTCTAAAAAACAGCATAGCTTCGGCGAGGGAGGGCCATAGATATAATTTGATAAACTTCAGAGCTGAGAAGGTCTTTCCACACTAATTTGAGTAGAAGGAAGAGCTGTTACTGTTAAGAGCTACTTCTTTCAACTTTTCAGGATAGACTTTTATAAGTTCTAAAAGAGGTGTCGGTACTTTTCCAATTCACCGGCGCAAATCTCGCCAAGCAGACTTTGTTGGCGACAGCATATAGTATACACATAAAAAATGTTAACAAATGTTAATTCTAAGAATTTTTTATTTTGAAAGCATAAACATTTTAATATGGTTTAAAATTTTGTAAAAAGCCATTAAATAAAGACAATAAATTTGTAAAAGAGCATTAATTTAAGAATTTACTATGCTTTCATGGTTCAACATCCTAATTCGCCAATTCGTATCACGTGACCCCAAGTGATCTTATCTCACATAAACTACGCTACAAAAATATATAATTCCCTCAGTAATTATCTACATTAATTTCAAGTTAAATCTTAAATCTTATGGAATACAAGTTTAAATGCAAGGAATTATTTCAATTCCTACGACTAGCTTACTCAGAAATTATGTAAAACAAACCGCAGTACTTTACTTCACACGTGCATTCTCATTAGATTTGATGAATTTAACCCTTGATTTTGCTTTTTCTATATTTTCGCCTACGAGTGAGTGGTGTGATTGCATCCTAATTAATTATTGCAAATGGTCTTAGGGGATAAAATTTAACTAGTAAAAATTATATGCAATTGTATGCCAGTAGTGAAAGAAACAATCAATCTGATAAGAAATGGCTGCGACTTGTCTTGAAAATGAAGGGTAAAAGGTTACCAGTGAAGATATTCTGTTTGGCATCAGTTGTGCCATTATTGGCAACTTTATCATTTGTACCGGCAAAACGGAAAAGTACCGAGGTGTCTTGCAAGCGCAATCATATTTCTTTATTTCTTCAAAGGCCGTGCAGAAATCTTGTTTGTATCATTTTTATATCTAAAGGCTCTTGGTTCTTTATTTTCATTCGCTTTGCCATAGCCTTTTCAATATTATCCAAAAATATTTCTCAAAATCTAATTCATCACTGGAAAAGGATGACAGAGACTCAATTGCAATGTCTGCAGTTTGACTGTCCTGATTCGAATTCTAAAAATTGTTCTGAGAATAATTTCATTCTTAATGAAAGTTCATAAATGGCTTTCTTTGCCTTTTGAATTTGTTTGTCATCCAACAAAATTCGGCGATTTGGATCTGCATATATTGAACCCAGCAAGATCTCATTATCTAGCAAACTAGCTTCTCTTTCCTTCATTGAAGAAATGATTCCTTCTGCAAATAAACCCTCCATTTCAGAAATGATTCCTTCTGAAATAAACCTTCCATTTCAGAAGGAACAAACATCCCATTCTTCCATTTTCACCTCCTGTCAATTCTTTAGATTGAAGCTTTTTTGTGGCTATATACGGTGCAGAAAGAAGAGTTTCCAAATCTGCAAGATCATTCCACAGTCTTTCTGTTAATGAAACATTAGGGTTTATCTATATCTTCTAAAAAAGTTCGTAATTCTAAAAACCTCTTTATCATCAAATATATACTTTCTTATTGCATTACTTAAAGAATAATTGCTTTTTTTCCTGCTCACTTCCTAAAAATGGCATTAATTTTGGGAGTTCTTGCTGCTATTGCTGCCTAGCTAAATTTACCAGTGAAATTTGTAACTAAATGAATCAGTTTAACCATTAATGGCAAAATATCACATCCATCCTCCTCCCTTATATTTATTTATTAATATGTCAATAAAATAGAAAGTAACTATTTATTAATGTATACAGTCCATAAATAAAAATAATAACTCAGCTTGTCATTAATTTTTTCAATTCATTTTAACTCCATTTCAAATTGTCCAATAAAAAATTTTAGCGACTCCAGCTCCGACTCCACACGAACTCTAAGGTAAATCTCACGATGATAGTGAATCCTGACTTGTTGATGTCTGCTCTGCCGCTTAGTGAAATGCCACAATTTTTCAACATTTTGTGAATAAACAGCTTGGATCAACAAGTCGAAATTAAAGGCTAACAGTAAAATGTCTTTAAACTTTTGTTTTGTATGCTTGCCAGTAATCTACTCTGGAGCTAGCATATAATAAGATAACAGAATACCAAGCAAAAAGCATTACTTCATACATACCTGTATAATGCTCCATAGATTTAACATCTCACAATTCTTAATTTAATAGTAATTCTTTCTTAGCAATAACAAAACGACACAAAGTTGAATATTTTACAATTATAAGAAAATTTTGTTGAACTATACCATTTTATGCTAATTAACCAGTTACTATGATTTGAAACTTCACTACAACTTCAAACTCTATAACTAATTTGCATTAGTCCTCACCAAAATGCAAATTAGTTGTAGAGTATTTAAGCCAAGGGTCAGGGCTTCTGGCAACCCCGCTTGCAGTTCACATCTTACTGCTGGCTCTGCCAAAATTTATTTCTGCTTTATCCATTTAGTTAGACACATTTCAAAGTGCCCCACTAATTTTTTTTTATTTATTATATATAATATTTTACCCAGCTTTAATAGATTATTTTGTGTATAGTCTCGGACTAAATTACTAGTATCTGAATTTCTATTTACATTGTTTTAAACATTCGCAAACAGGAGGTAAATTTCATGAATTCATAAAAAGATTATTTTAACCCCTGTTATCTTAATACAAATTAGAGTGATAACTTGTTTTTCAGTCTAGTAGGGTCAGAAAAGTATTCATTTTAAGCTCCTACACAAGAAGAACAATATAGTGCATGTTTGAAAACATTGTGCACAAATATATGTATTTAAAATTTTAAAACAAATTATAGCACTTTAAAATTTCTTTTAATGTTAGAAACTAGGTTTGTAAAAATTTCACTTTTTATAACACCTTAAGCACATTTCTGTGCAATGAACATATAATCAATAATCTGCAATTAAATATGTCACCACTTTGCCTATAAAGAGAACTTCTAAATTTACTGAATTACATAATTAGCAATTTGGACTTTAATACTGTTTAAAAGTCTGTGATAAGTTGTTTAAAAGTCTGAATTTTGAGCTATTACATAGTCAAAAATCCATTTAGTTAGACACATTACCTATGATTTTTGAAGAACTTTTACCTATGATTATAATTTTTGAACATTACCTATGATTATGATTTTTGAAAATTACCTATGATTTTTGAAGAACTATGCAGTAACTAATAAATATAACACTGATGAGACAGCATTTTCTGGTATTCCACTCTAATCATAAAAGGTATAAAATGTTCTAAGAATAAATACTATGAAAAAAAAAATGACTAACTGCATTAGTGGATTACAGAATGCATGGCACAGAAATACTGCCCTTACCAATTATTGTCTGTCAGAAAAGCTTGCAATCCTGTCTGAAAAGCTTGTTCTTTAAATCTGTAAAGATGTAACAACTAAAGAAATAATTTCAAAAAAAAAAGGGGGGGAATTATATTTCTTCAGAAATTTTCACCAAATGGATAAAAAAGTTAACCAAAGTATAAGCAACAAGGCAAAAAAGGCATATTGGTTAGTGGATAACTGTCGCACATACTTCCTGGTTTCAGGATTGCAAGCCACACAAATAGTGTACTATCCTTTGAAAACAAAATCTAAGCTATAATCTTGTGACAAAGAGATAATACATAAAACCGATTACCAAAGCCAACTAATTCATAAGACTAATTATCTGAGCCCACATCTGAACAAAAATCTGATCCCACATCTGAACCCTGTAATCACAAAATTATCAATGAAATTGGCATCCAACATGCTACCTAAGTATTTTAACAATGAACTTTCATACCACAACATGGTGAAACCTTATTTACATGAGCATGTTTACAGCAAAATATATTACACATGAACTGTTTATTTATCCACCCTCATTGAATTATATAGAAACTGCAGCATGTTGTTTCTTAACATGAATATGCTTAACACAAAATTTTTTTATTATAAACTATTAATCAATGGCTTTCCAATTTTCTTTCTGTGGTTAGCATTAATGAAGGATATTTTTCGAAGTCTTTCTCGGTGAAAATGTTCAAGTGTTAAATTTTCTTTGAACAGTAGAGTTCCTTAGAAGATAGAAACAATGTTATGTTTCAAAAAGGAATTACTACTACAATTTTGATTTTGATTTCCTAGGGATGATTTAGTGTCCCTTGATATAAAAAGTTTGCTTTTTTTCCCATCACTCCCTGTGCCTATCTGCCAAAAAAATCT